TGGAAAGAGTATCTTTGTTCACAAGTCTTGCTAAACTAAGCCTTGCTAAACTAGGTTTGTTATGGACTGGTGACCCAAGCCCACAGGTAAGTAAAAAAAGAAAAACAAAACAAAAACCAAGTCAACTTGCATGAAGGCCTTGAAATAGAAGGAAATATTAGAAATCTTAATAAGGCCATACAAAGGATATTAGTGGGGAAATCTGCAAGTCATCTCAAATGTCTATTTACTAATGCAAAAAACATGGGATCTAAGCAGGAACAATAGGAAGTTCTAGTACAGAGCCAAATTATCATTAAATTAGGATAACTGAGACTTAATGGGATAGTTCACACAAGTGGACTATCAATATGGATGGGTATAGTTTGTTCAGAAGGGACAAACAGGAAAGAAAGGGAAATGAGACTCAATTACTCCAGTTGTTGTTTTCCATCTCTAACTACTGTGAACCAATGAGTATTTATTTCACCGGTAACAGACATTATCAGCATGCCATCACTGAACAGTAAGCATTATCCCTAGTGCCAAACCAGAAAACTGAAAATGGATGGAATCAGGAAGAAACTAAACAAATCAAGGACAACTTCTCCCAATTTGTTGAATAATTCTAAAATGGAAAAAATATTTTGATGATAAAAATTCAAAGTTAAATTAAAAAATTACATGTGACAGTGTTTTAACTTTTTTGTCCCAATGAGGTACTGCTAATGCAGCACACTGGAAATATGTTTGATCTCAGCAGCACAGGGCTCATAGTAAGAGGGCACATTTTTTTCTGTAGCACAGCATGCTCTCTTCTCTTTTTTCCTCTGTTCTGTTTCTCCTCTTTAGCTCTCAGATCAGCTTCGTCTGGTATGTAACCTCCTGAATGGTAAACACAGAGGCTCCCCACACCACCTGATGGATTTTCCCATTCTTCCACCTGCCTGACAGAACTGAAACTTTTCCCCTATGTTGCAGCTTTACTCACAGCTAGCATACTGACCACTGGACAGTTCACCCATTTTCCATTAACTGTCTCCTCCCAATTCCTGATTCGGAATGAAGAATTTACTATTCAGACAGTTCTCAAAACAACAAACCCATTGTTAATCCTATAATAGTTAACTGGCAGTCACAACGCATTCTAGACCATTTTGGTTCACTGTAGTGAATGACCTACAAGTATCCTTAATTTGCTGTTAGGAAAAAAACAGGACGAAAATGTCAGGCATTTCACTCATAACCAGTGTTAGTGACTACTGTGATGTTAAGCATGCAAGGAAAGCAGTATATTTTTCCTAGAAGAGAATGCAAAATGTGTTAACTATTTTGTCTGGCAATATTTATATTCGCATTCTGTTTTGCCCATGGCATTGCCCAATGGCAGTATTAGTAGACAGATGCTGCTTTTATATATGGTGTGTGTTTTCTATTGAGCAGTTTCATCTTTTATTGCCAAGGCTACTTGAATATTTAAAACAGCATCTCGTGTTCAGTGTCATGTGTTTGGGACTCCATTTAAACAGGAAAGCTAGTATTGTGTGGTCAGGCATCTGAACAGGCATGGATATGGATAGGAAATCAACGTATTCAATGGAGTAGTCACTTAAATCTTACTTTTCCTTGCCTACAAGTGAGAGCAGATTTGCTGTGGAAACTAGTTAGAGTGACATCCAACCATGCAGTATGAGGTTCAATAATTATTCTAAGAACTCTGTTTTGGATAGTCTAAACATTTGTATTTTACAGAAGATGTATATTATTAATGCCTATATTACCTAGGAGTCACTGCAAAGGAGGAACACATGAGTCCCAGTCTTATGTGTGTTAGTAATTTAGACGGTTTGAAGACATACTCACCATTTTTTAAACTGTGTTAACTGATCTGCATCACACAGTTTGAATCAAATTTCATTTTGAATTAAGGGTTAATAGATGATCATTGACTATCATGGCAGGAGGCCTTGGCTATACACAGTTTATGCACTTGGCAGCCACTTAGACCCAATTCGCAGACTCTGTGCGCACTTATGCTTGGAAGTAATGGATGTGATAATAAGCCTCTTTAACCATGGCTACATTGTTGCAATCATAGAATCATAGGAAGTTAGGGTTGGATGAGACCTCAGGAGATCATCTATTCCAAATCCCTGCTCAAAGCAGCACCATCCCCAACTATATAATCCCAGCCAAAGCTTTGTCTATCTGGGTTTTGAAAACCTCCAAGAAAGGGGATTCCACCACCTCCCTAGGTAACCTGTTCCAGTGTTTTACTTCCCTTCTAGTGAGAAAATTCTTCCTAATACCTAACCTAAACTTCCCTTGCTGCAACCTGACACTTTGCTCCTTGTTCTGTCATCTGCCACCACTGAGAAAAGTCTAGCTCCATCCTCTTTCAAATCCCCCTTTAGGTAGTTAATGGCTGCTATTAAATCCCCTTTCAGACTCCTCTTTTCTAGACTAAATAAGCCCAGTTCCCTCAGTCTTTCCTCATAAGTCATGTCCCCCAACCCTCTCACCATTTTTGTTGCCCTCCGCTGGACTCTCTCCAATTTGTCCACATCCTTTCTGTAGTGGGGTGCCTAAAACTGGACACAGTACTCCAGATGTAGCCTCACCAGTGCTGAATGGAGGGAAATAATCACTTCCATTGACCTACTAGCAACACACCTACCAATACAGCCCAGTTTACCGCTAGCCTTCTTGGCAACAAGGGCACACTGCTGGCTCATTCAGCTTATTGTTTATTGTAACCCCCAGGTCTTTTTCTGAAGAGCTGCTGTCTAGCCTGGACTGGTGCACGGGATTGTTCTCCCCTAAGTGCAGGACTTTAGATTTGTACTTGTTGAACCTTATGAGATTTCTTTTGGCCCAATCCTCTACTTTGCCTAAGTCACTTTGAATCCTAGCCCTACCCTCCGGTGTATCTACTACTCCCCGAGCTTGGTGTCATCTGCAAACTTGCTGATGATGCACTCTATGCCAGGTGGAGGGCTGCTTACTGAGTTTTGGGAAACTGTCGAGGGCCACATGACAGGCAGCCAGAGGCAGATAAATATTAATTTTCTAAATATTTTAGGGGCCCTGCAGGCCGAATAGAATGACCTGGTGGGTTACATCTGGCCTGTGGGCTGCATTTTGCCCACCCCTACTCTATGCCATCTTCCAGGTCGTTGATGAAGACATTGAACAGACGTGGACCTAGGACCAACCCCTGGGCCACTCCAATTGATATCAGCTGCCAACTAGACATTGAGCCATTGATTACTACTCTCTGAGCCCGATGCACCAACCAGTTTTCTATCCATCTTACAGTCCATTCATCAAGCCCATACTTCCTTAGCTTGCTTGCAAGAATGCTGTGGGAGACGGTATCAAAAGTCTTGCTAAAATCAAGGTACACCACATTCACTGGTCTCCCCACATCCACAGAGCCAGTCACTTCATCACAGAAGGTGAATCAGGTTGGTCAGGCATGACTTGCCCCAAGTGGATCCATGCTGGCTGTTCCTAATCGTCTTCTTCTCCTCCAAGTACTTAGAAATGGATTCCTTGAGGATCTGCTCCATGATTTTTCCAGGGACTAAGCTGAGGCTGACTGGTCTGTAGTTCCCTGGATCCTCCTTGTTCCTCTCTTAAATATGGGCACTATGTTTGCCCTTTTCCAATCATCTGGGACCTCTCCTGATCGCCATGCATTTTCAAAGATGATGGCCAATGGCTCTGCAGTCACATCAGCCAACTCCCTCACCATCCTCGGGTGCATCCCATCTGGCCCCAGGGACTTGTACATGTCCAGCTTTTCTAAGTAGTCCCTAACTTGTTCTTCCACCCCTGTTGACTGCTCACCTCCTCCCTAAACTCTGCTACCTGGTGAGAATAGTCTGAGAGCTGACCTGGCCTGTGAAGACTGAGGCAAAAAAGGCATTGAGCACTTCAGCATTTTCTGCATCCTCTATCACAAGGTTGCCTCCCCATTCAGTAAGGGACCTACACTTTCCCTGATCCTCCTCTTGCTACCGACATACTTGTAGAAACCCTTCTTGTTACCCTTCACATCCCTTGCTAACTACAACTCCAAATGCACTTTGGCTTTCCTGACTTCATCCCTGCATGCCTGAGCAATGATTTTATAATCTTTCCCAGGTATTTGTCCAAGTTTCCACTTCTTATAAGCTTCCTGTTTGTGATTTAGTTTACTGAAGAGTTCCCTGCTAAGCCAAGCTTGTCTTCTGCCATACTTGCTAGTCTTCTTGCACATGAGGATGGTTTGTTCTTGCACTCTCAGTAAGGATTCTTTAAAGTACATTCAGCTCTCCTGGACTCCTCTCCTCCTCAGACGGGCTTCCCAGGGGATGTTACCCATCAGGTTTCTGAGTGAGTTGAAGTCTGATTTTCTGATGTCCCGGGTTCTTACTCTGCTGCTCTTTCCATCCTTCCTTTCCTCAGGATCCTGAACTCAATCATCTCGTGGTCATTGCTGCCCAAGTTGCCATCCACTACATTACCCATCAATTCTTCCCTGTTTGTGAGCAGCAGGTCAAGAAAGGCATGGCTCATAGTTGGCCACTCCAGCACTTGCACCAGGAAGTTGCCC